GGCAGCGGGCAGCGCCAGCCGCCGCCGCCCCCGGGCGCTCTCCGGGAGCGCAGCCCCGCGGGCGGCTCTCTTAGAGAAAGCTGAACCACGATGTCTCTTTAATGGGCTTTTCACACGCCGGGCGCCCTCCAGAGCAGACCCGCTGGAGTTAGCGTCCGCTGGGATTTGTCAGGCACCCTCTGCTGATACCCTCTGCTCTGATTTATTGTGTTAGAAGGTTTCAAGGTCGCGCTGAGATTCTGGTGGAACTAAATTAAACCCCTGACTCATGACATTATATGCTTGGTCAAACATTCTTGTTCTGTCTTGTTGTAGCCCCTGTAACTAATAAGAAGAGATCAGTGAACCCTTGACAAATGATCTGAGAAAAAGGGTGAGGTATGAAAAGACATCATGTGGAGAAACAAATTACAACCTATTTCCCCTAGTTGGGGACCAAGGTGTTTGGGGAGCACTGCTGGGAGGTCATACACCTCCGAGTCTTGGTAGACATTTTCAGAAAGCTGAAAAGTGAACACAACTTTCTTTTCTTCCATTTTAACTAGGCAGGACGAAATACTGAAAAGACAGCGTGGGTGAAATCTTGTACTGGCATGAGGATGGAGTAGATGACTTGCTAAGTGTTTTCTAGCATGACTTCATGAATAGCCAGGGCTGTGCATTAGTAAAGTGTGACTTTCTAACTCTACTGTTAAAAAAAGGAAAAGAAAAAGAATCTATGCTCTGGAGCGAAGCGTTTTGAAAACACTGCTCCATGCTTACTGCTCTGTCACTCTGTCACTCTTTGACTTGGTATGCGCAGGCAATAATCCATGTTCCTAAGGAAAAAATCATCACTTGAAGCTCTCGGTCACAGGTATGGTGGCTCCTGCTGCAGACTGACAACCCTGAAGGAGCCAGGAATGGGCAAATGGAAAAAGTCATGGAGAGTAAAGCACGTACATACATTCTTGCAAACTGAGGCACTGCAGAAACACTGTTCCTTTCGATGGCTCACATGGTCGGATTGCATGGGTTCAGGCTGTGAGATAAATTGCATATGAATATGTATGGACCTAGACCTGTGACTGACCCAACCCTGTTGCACTCAGCAAAGAGCCTGACCCAAAGCCAGCCCACTGATGCTGACACGGGCTGCGGGGACTTTCCTAGGAGCTGCCCTTGGCTATCTGGGAGCCAGTTGGATGTGGGGGCACTAATACATCCCCAGTATTGCTTCAGATATCCTGATCTTATCCCGGAAACTAGGTTCAGACATCTCCAAGCAATGTAGAAGTGAGGGGGGAACACTGAAGGTAAGTGAAGTCAGGAGAAGTAAAGATCGCATTGCGAAAGGAGAGCAGTTTTTTATTGGAGCAGTCCAGCAAGACATGTGGTGGATTGCGCATCCCTTGACAGCTGTAAATTTAAACTGGATTGCATTATCAGACAGGTTTCTTGGATTTAGTGCAGGAATTACAAGTGAAGTTCTGCACTTTTGTCCTGCTGTCTTTACAGGGGGTTGAAGTTGTGCTGGTGACTCTGTATGAGGTAGTTTTTCTTCAGAATCAAAAACCAATCCATTGCCTACAGTGTTAGAGGGGGCAACACTGATAGGGCATCAGATTTCTGAGGAGAGAATGAGCTATTAAAACGCCCCTTGTAACATCATTAAAATGACGTTTCGTTAGAGAAAAAGCAGCATAGTATGTCCTGTCCAAATTCCAGCAGGATGTTTTTCTTTTCTCTTCCTGAATTCCCATGTTACTACAGTTGGAGAAGGGCTGCTTCTCCATGCTGGGTCCCTGATCTGCAAGGATTTTGGTCTGTTGCTAATGTCACTGTTCAGACAATCTCTGTCGAGACAGCAGCAGCCAAAGTGAACATACATGCAGTGGGATTTTCAAAAGTGCCTAGGGACTTCAAACGTCGCCAGGAATGTGAGTATCTGTTTCCTTCAGTGTTACTGAAAATCAAATACACAATTTGTAGGCCTGTCTTGAAAAGAAACGAGATAGCAAATCCCTGTGATTCGTGGGTCCTTGGAGGTAGGCTTGAGAGTTAGGTTTCACAGCATCTGCATGTTTTTAGTAGGTGCTGCTTTGTGCCTGGGCAGAGCTCCTTTTTCTGTGTAGGTGTCTTCCAGGGCGACTTACCTAACGCAGCTACTCACCTCTGTCAGACTTCATCTCAAGTATTCATCATGTTTTTCCTGCTCTGTGCTGATGCAAAGTCCAATATGAGTAAATAAGGTCAACAGTAATTGTAACTCTTGAAGCAGTACTCTTTTTGCATAGTCAGTGCAGTAGTAATGAGGAATGAAATATTTTCTATAGACTTCTTGACCTAAATTCTTTTGCAGAGAGATTCTTTAAAGAGAAATTCCTTATTTGGCCTGAAGAGTGCCTTGTGAAAGTCTTTATAGATGCCAGCACTTTCTGCTGCAGTCTGTAAGGCTGTTTCCTCGGATGATGGTGTCTGGTAGCTTTTGAAGAGATTAATTCAGGTGTGAGACCTTCACTGAACATAAAAATACAAAAAATGGAGCCCTTTTCCCACTCGTTGGCAGATCTAGGTCGCAGAGAATTGGCATAGAGGCTGAAAGAGCCTTTCCCTCAGGTGAGAGCTGGGACTCCTGGCCGGGCAATGTGGTGGAAACCTAGACTTAAAGGCAGGATGCCCTTAGCTCTAGTCCTAGCGCTGCTACTCAGGCTATGCCTTCACTTGGATTGCTGCCTGGGTCTTTTGTGGTTGTGTACAGAGTCTGCCTCTGTTTCGTGCTATGCACCTTCACCTGGCACAGCATCACAACAAGTGTTGTGGTTGTTAGTGCCAGGATAACGTGATGCCTGGAGGACGTGGTGCGTAAACGCAGTGTTCGCAGGTGGCATCTTGGTGGGAGATCTTTGCTGGGCTTGCGGAGTTTGCCCGTGCCCTTGGATACTGCTAATGCTGAGCCCATGCCTGAGCCCTTGCTCTTCTCTCAGCTCTAGCAAAGTATCGCTGAGGAGTAAGTACAGCTGAAAGCTCTCCATGTATTGCCACAATCGACAGTGCTTTGTCCCGTGTGGCAGCTGATAGAGCCCGGTGTTAGGGAGCCTCTCTCATTCCCCTTAGACCACAGCGCTGATATGACTGAGGAGACATTTTGCTCAGCAGTGGGATGCAACTGCAATTTCTGAAGCTGGGGGCTGCAGCATACGTGTGACGCAGGAAACTCCGGA